AGGACAGGTGCCTCACCCTGTTGAACTGGGACCAGGACACAGACATGTTGTTGTAGTCCTCGAGGTGGCTGTGGCTGCTGTTGAACAGTTTCTGTGCCAGGAACACGAGGTTCTCCTTGGTCAGGCCCCGGCTGCTCTGCACTTCGGCCTTGAATTTCATGTTGAGCGCCTCACACAGCTGCGGCCACAGCACTTTGTCAGGCACAGCAAATGGCACCCTGCCCTGAGGGGGAGAGAGGAATGGGGGAAAGGCAGATTGAGGGAGTTGGAAGTGTTCACACATGCACACAGGAAATTTGCAGACACCAAGAGACAGGGGAGACTGAGAAAGATCCAGAAAGGTGACACTAACACAGGGGAAAGGAAGTGGGGGTGGGGCACAGGAGGGCTGGGTATGCAAGCTAGAGAATGGGGACCCCAGTCACAGCTGAAGGAAGATCTGAGACCAGGGCCCAAAGACCAGGCCCACCGAACCCAGACAACTCAGTCCCCAAACCTGGAATCCAAGCAGAGCCCGAGGACTCGCCTGAGGCATGTCTCCTGGAGTGGGAACCCCACTCAGCAGGGGTTCAGGGATGGGACTGACCACCAGAGAGTTCTGGGACTTGGGAGCTGAGGCAGGAGTCCCAGGGGGCCTCACCGGCTCAGCAAAGGCGTTGTCCCATAGCACGGTGGCTGTGGCATTGTGGTCCTGGCTGCCATGGACAATGACTACCACTGGGAGGGACAGAGTCTATGAGAGTCAAAGGAATGAGAGTTGAGGGGGCATGACCATCATCTGCCCTCTACTTAGGCAAGATGCCCAACCTTCTGTCTCACCCACCGTTCCAACCACAAGCCCCTCTAGACAAACCTAAGCACAAGCAAACAAACAAAAAAAAAATACACAACCTATGTCTTCTGAGCCTGTTGCCTGAATTGTGTGGGCTAGTCCCAGGTGACAACCTAGCAGACAGGTATCTGCAAAGCTAAAGCAGGTTCTCTCCTAGCATCCTGGGATAACTGGGCAGGGACCCATGTGAGGAGTTACAGCTCATTGGTTTCCTTGAACCAGCCAGGTGGCCCCAGCCAGACCCCTTCACCTCCCTGGGTAAGCTGCAGGGATGGAAGGGCTAGGGAGCCTCACCTTGACTTGGAACACAAGCTCATTGCTGCCAACACTGAACTGAGACTCAAACAGGACAGTGAACTTCTCCTCTGTCACAGACTCTGCACCCCGCCGGTCAGCACGCTTGATCCTCTTTAGTGACTATAGAACAGGAGGTCAGAGGGGGACAGAGAGACAACAGCAGGTTATAAGGACTCAGCTCTGGGCAGACCTCCTTCTTCCCTCCATGGGCCAGGCGCTGTCCTCACCATGTTTCTGAAGTGGGCGCTGAGAGTGCCAGTGGCCTGGTGGTACTCCATCACGCAGCAGTTGTTCAGGATCTCCCCACTGCACTCGCTGCAAAGGAGAGGGAAGGCCCAGCTCCACGTGGGCCCAGGCTAGGAGCATGGTCCTGTCTGTACCTTGCACTGGGGTCTTCCCTTTGCTCAGCCCTGCCAGCAGCCCCTGCCCTCCACTCCCCAAGAATATTCCTCAGTGTTTCTCTGTCCACTACCTACAGTACCCCATGGCAGGTCTGCAATGGTGAGGTCTGGATCTCTACCATTAGTTTGAAATTCTAATGGCACCGAGATTGATGTGGGGCCTTTGGGAACTTCTGGTAGCTCTCTTTAGGTCACTAAAAATGAAAGTCTTAGCCAAAGCCTACAAGGACTCCTGTGATCAATCCCTGACCATCTTCCGGGCCTCACTGAGCTCCTCCATCTGCTGAACAGGCCCAGCTTGCTACCTACTTCAGGACCTTTGCACATGCTGTTCCCGTCACCACAAATACCCCTGACTTTCTCCTCCTTTAGGTCTCAGCTCAGAGACCCCACAAAGGGCTCCCTATCTACCTATCATCTACCTCCCCCTAACCCCACCCAAACACACACCCAGATGCTAGGATAGCACCCTGTTTTAATTTTCTTTCTAGAGTCTATCACATGTTAGCACTGCCTTATTTTTAAAAGCACATTATTGTCTTTCTCCCCAGCTAAAATGTAGGCTCTAAGAGAGTGAGAGCCTTGTTCACCTTCCTCCTCATCAAATCCCCAAACCAGATGGCAGACACTCAGTAAACATTTTTAGTTGGATGACAAAGAATATGATCAAGTCTCCCACATCACTCATTCACTCCTCTGCTCCATCCTTTGTGGGAGATCTGCCCTGACCCTGGACCCCTCATTCCTTGGCCACACATAGCTCTCTCCATATTTTTTCCTCAGGTCATGGCACATGTTCTCTCTGCCTGAAAAGGTCTTCCCTCTTCACCCCCATCACTGGCTACCTCAGTTAGCAGCCTGACATGAATTGTCCTTTCTTCATTCCTGCCCCAGGATCCCCTTCCATACGCTCTATGTATATATGTCACACACCATACCAGGAATTATTTCTCACTATGCTGTCCACTCTACTGGTCAACAGATTGGGCAAGGAGACCACCAAGTTCTGTCGGAACCATCGTTCTGACCTGGGGAAGGCCTCTGAGCCCGACAAGTGCAGTATGCCACAACATGATCAATCGACTTAGAACTATTCCATTTTACCATGGTGCAAAAACGACACGCATTCAGCAGAAAGCTCCCAGTCAGCCATGTGATCACAGGGTGAACAACCAATACTCTACAAAGGGCTAAGTGGCTAATGTGAGTATTAGGAGCACATTAAGGCAGCCAGGCTAAGATACAGTGTTCAATAGTTACAGGTCCTAATGTGTTTCTGACTTCTGATACTTTCCATTTACAATGAGTCTATCAAGATGTAACCCCATCATATGCTGGGAGCATCTGCATACAGGAGCAGACAGAGTAAACTAGGGAGACAGGAACATGTCTGTATGTGGGGACAAAAGACAAAAGGGAGGGAGACAGTAGTGTCCCAAACACACAGAATACCAACAGCTGTAGAACAGAAGCAGCCCCCAAACCTGAGCTTGGGGAGAGGCAGGCCATGGGAGAGAGAGCACAATTACTTGCGGGTGTTCTCATTCTTGAGCAGGGACTTGGCCTGCTGCTCGCTGATGATGGTCGCCTTCACCTGAGGGGGGTTCATGTGCACGTTCAGCTTCCCGCCCACCAGCAGGCGCACGGTGGCTGCAAACTTGGTCTGGGTCTTCAGGACCTGAGGGGGCTGCTTCTCGATGATGAATGTGCTGTGGGGACACAGTGACCACACGGACCATGAGATGCTGGCTCAGGGAAAGGGCTGCAGGACCCTCGTGTGTGCTGGAGGGGTACTGTGTCCC